GTGACCGATCGCCCGGGCGGCTAGCGAGCCGACCTTTTGGTGAAGAATATAAAGGAAAAGAGACGTGACTGATCGCCCGGGCGGCTAGCGAGCCGACCTTTTGGTGAAGAATATAAAGGAAAAGAGACGTGACCGATCGCCCGGGCGGCTAACAAGCCGATCAGTGGCGAAGAGGATAAAAGTAAAAAAAAAAAAATTAATTCCAATTCAATTCATAACTGACCCCATGTCTGGTTCAGAAACTTTCAGGAGCAAGTGCATGGCACTGCATGTCCAGTACTTGCCAACAGAGTGTAACAGAGACGCGACCGGCCGCCCAAGCGGTTTTCTATTCTACTGGCACATACCACTCAAGGTAGGTATCTACCTACCTTGCATACCACTTGCTTGTTTAGTGAGCGACGGGAACCAGACAAATGTGCACCACTTTAGTAATCGTTAACATCTAGCAAAATGAGTTTGCTGTGCTTATTGTCTGAGAAATTTAAAATGACACAATATTGTACTCTATTGATTCATATTTTTATTTATTTTTATTTTAATTAGTCATTTAATATAACAAATAACTATACTCTGGCGGCGCGTGAGGAATAGTTACTCTCCCGGATAATACTAAGGGCTGTCTGCCGCCTGACCACAACAATAACCTGTTCACCAACTCCACTTTACCCTCCTCCACCTGCACCTCCCGCAAGTACTTTAAAACACTTACTTTCATTTACAGTAAAACATTTAGTTTGAAATAAAGATGTTTCGGTTTATATGTCTTTGTAAAGTTTCGTTAACCTTAGGTATATGTGAGGTAAAGGGGTTGCAAGTAAATGAATCTCGGTAATTTTGACAATTACAAGACAATTTTCGTCAATGTCATTTTGTGGCGCAAATTACGTGTAAGCTAGATATTTAACATCTGGTTAATATTGACGACTGTCCTGCCAACGACTTATTTGTTTTAGTGTTTATTTGATATTTTTGCATTTGTTCACACAACTTACCTACCCCAAATCTATTATCATATTCGAAAAAGACGTCTAATTATAAGATAATTTTCATCTATTACATTACCGTCGGAAATGTATAATAACGGAGATAGTGTATCCAATGTCTTCCTCGGTTTTCTTCCATTAATCTAACGCCATTATGGCTTACCTCACCTCCCACACTGCTGTCTTCTTCATCAATCGTCACACTCATGGGTCCCCGTACACATCACGCAGCCAATCAAAAGCGTTTTTGGTTTTTTTTTGCCACTAATTAAAATGATTTGTGGTTTGATTTGCGGTATTTTTGGCCCAATCAAAGGTAAATTTCCACTTCCACGTCCCCATCTGTTAGGAAATCAGAACTATATTTTACTAGTGTATTTGTGTGTTTAGACCAAATATGACCTTTACTTCTGTCGGAAATTGGCCTTTTTTTCATCGCTTTTTTTTCGTGGGACGTTTTTCGAAATAAAATTAATGGCTAAGCAAATAAAAAAATACACAAAAACACACTAGAAAAACAAAAACCTAACCTAACCTAACTGACTCACCAGATGATGGAATCACCTATTTCTTACCTTAGGTTAGGTTTTTGTTTTTCTAGTGTGGTTTTGTGTATTTTTTATTCGCTTAGCCATTATTTTTATTTCGAAAAACGTCCCACGAAAAAAAAGCGATGAAAAAACGGTCAATTTCCGACAGAAATAAAGGTCATATTTGGTCTAAACAAATTTACCCAATCAAATTCGATTTTTATTTTGGGTCTCATATTTTGAAATTCAAATTCATTTCCGACCATGGAAGTCTGCAATGGGTGTCACTTCAGTTATGTGGAGCTGATTGTGAGTTTTAAGGAAAAAAACGAACAAGCTATATAATTTTTTCGATTTCATGGTGTTTTCCCGACCTCAGTAAAGTGTCCTAACTGCAAGAACGAATGTGAATATCGTTAAGAGTCAAGACAACATATGTGGCATTGTGGTAACTCGTCCCTTATCCCCAAGACAAAGAAGAGACGGTGATCGTACACTGTCAGTGATTTCAAAGGAACTAAGGTAAGAAATAAATGATTCCATCATATGGTGAGAGTTTGTTAGGTTATGTCAGGTCAGGTCAAGTCAGGTTTACATTTTTCTAGTGTATTTTTGTGTATTTTGTATTTGCTTAGCCATAATTTTTGTCGGAAAACGCCCCACCCAAAACCCCCTGATAACTAAAACACGGGCAATTTCCGACGGAATTGAAGGTCAAAACCAATTAAAACACACAAAAACACACTAGAAAAACATAGTTTTGACTTTCTAACACAGTTGTGTGTACTAATGCAAATTTACCGTTTATTTTCGGTAAAATTTTATAAGTGGACACCATGGATTTTTTATTGTGCAATGTGTTTTTACGATGGTTTTGACAATGTTAAGACACTTCTTCAGTGATATTTTCCTCGCAATTGACTTAAATATACCAGAGGATCCAGAGGCGGAACCCCGGTTAGGAGGTTAGGTTAGGTAATTTTAAGGGTCACTATTTGGTAAATGTCACCAGGGATCATTACAGTACCATGTATAGCGTTCTGCACGATACTGACTTTTACTTACTTTTACTTTTATCCTCTTTACCACTGATCGGCTCGTTAGCCGCTTGAGCAATCGGTCACGTCTCTGTTACGCACTGTTCGCAAGTACTGGGCATGCACCGGCTCCTGAATGTACCTGAACCCGCTCCAGTGTTGTTCAAGTCTTGTCTTGAAACAGCTCACACTCGATGCCGTCACAACACTTTCTGGCAGATTGTTCCAAGAGTTTACAACCCTCACTCCGAAACAGTTTGTCCTCACAGTTTTCTGGACCTGCGGCTTCTTCAATCTTGAGCTGTGACCCCTTGTGGGGTGAGCGTCCGCCAGCTCCAAGTAAGGACACTCGACTGAGTAGCGCCCCTTGAGATGCTTATACACCTCAATTAGGACACTTTACAGATGATGCAATAACACCATGAGCCCTAAAAATATCAATGGCTGCTCCATCATTCTCCAAAACACGGTGAATAACCCGCCAGTCAGCCAATGTACACCCTTCACACACAGTATCCATCTTGAAACTGATCGGGAATCGAAAGTTACGCTCATTGGTGCTCGAGTATTACGTCACATAAACACTCGAGCTGATTCGCGCACATGACTATGACGTAAAAACAATTCTCCCACTGCTTGGCTAATCTATATATATACATATATATAAAACAAAGAAGTCTGTCTGTCTGTTTGTTTATTTGTTTGTGTATCCGCACGAGAATCTCGGAAATTACTTTACCTATCTGTAGTGATGATGGATGGTGTTATATGTAGTGATGATGGATAGTGTTATATGTAATGATGATGGATGATGTTACAGTGGTCCCTCGGTTAACGAGCATAATCCGCTCCAGCAGGTTGCTCGTTAACCGAAAATCTCATTAACCGAAACCATTGTTTCAATGGGTTTTTGGGTAATTGGGTCCAGCTCACCGAAAATTGCCTAAATTCAACAAAAATGTTAGAAATTGACACTTACCTTGAGGTGATGATACTGATGTGAATTTGAAGTGGGAGGTGGAGGAGGAGAAGGGAGATGAGAAGGAAGTGTAGGTGGAGGAGAAGCATTTTACTGCTTCTTGGAAGGTGAGTCACCTTCCAAGAAAATGTCAGGAGCCTCTGGACTGACAGATTCTCCACCATGAACATCCTCTCTCCTTCTTGAAGTGGAAGGCTGAGGGATAGCATCTTGTTCCCTCTGCCTTTTATTGAAGAAAGTGTCAATTGTGGTCTGTAGGGCATCTCTCCTCCTCACCATTAACTTATGTTTAAAGAAGGAGACCATTGAGTCCTCAACATGACACAAAGTTAGTTCAGTTTTTCCACATCTGGGTGCCTTGAAGCTAGTTCCCTGAATTTCTCCCAGTGGTACATCACATCTTTCAACTCTTTAGTTGACATATGGTCATCACT